ACATCATTTTCTGTGACTGCCTAAGACTTTTGCACAGTACTGTGTGTTGACCAGTGTCAATCAAAATGCTTACTGTATTAAACCATCAGGCCTAATTCAGTCAAATGCCTCATCAAGCATGGCTGGATAAGCTTAGAAGAGAGAGCTCTTACTATTGCTTGGTAAACCCCCCCATCCCAATTCGAAAATCTCTCCTGCACCCCTTTGTATACATGTATATAATTTTATGTTAATTATATTTGTACATCATTACACCAGATGGTGGTGACAGAGAGGATGATGACTGATGAATCACTCAGTGAAAAAAATAACTGCAGATGAATCAGTGCATTTACCAAGACCATTTCATTCACTTAAATGATTTGTTCAAAAATAAGGTATTTTTCACAAATGACACAAGTTTGTTGTACAGGAATCTGTCTATGAGGGTGTGTGTTTGTGTGTGAGGTGTGTGGTGGGGGGAGGCATGGATTGTTCAAATTTTGTTACTAAGCTAGTGGTGCTGCAATCCATTCTTGCCCCCAACTGCAATCTCCTCGTCTTTGTTGTCCTCCGTGGGACGGTGTGATCTCATCTCTATTTATCTGGTGCTTAAAAATTAACTGTATTAAAATGAATGGTAATCACGGCTCCCGATGAGACAGTTTCCACAAACATATTATGCTCATAAGTAAGGTGAGACCTGTTGTGTAGTTGTCTATGAAATTCAATCCATTATTCCTAATTTATTCAGCCATCGGGGAATATGGGACTCGGATGTGTACAGTGAATTTGTCTGTCTATCAGAAGGAACCACACAATAAAATTTATCAGCTGGGCTATAGTGGGTCTTCATTCTGAGGATTTCTTCATCGCGCAAAAACCTTTTCAGTTGTTAGAGTAGCAAACAGGTGTTGTGTCCAGCTGAGGCTGTCAGTCAGAAAACAGGGTATTCACTGAAACTCTGAGGAGAACCAGCAGTGCCTTGCAGAGTGTTTCGGCATTCAGCTGGTATTTAGGAGCGGTGCTGGTTAGTGCTATTTGATACATCCCAGCACATACTGTCACAGTTCTAAAATCTGTTTCAGTTCTGTCATTTAAAGATACTTACAGGGACCTTTCTAATCAGCTTGAGGATGGTAACATCCCATCCAATAGGTGACCCAGCTAATGTGGACCGAAATGGATAGGTCATGTATCGGAAATAAAAAGTAACTACTCCTTAATTCTGTATGCAAAAAATGCATTTTCTCAATTGACCTTTCTGCCACTACTTTATCGATCCCTGTGGGGAGATTCTCTTTACACTTCCCCCAACTTGCGCTCTGTAGGTGTGGGCAAGCTGGCTGCAAAGAGCAGCCACCTATTGTGGTGCCCAGGGAGCTGGGGGTTAAGGGCCTTGCTTAGGGACCCACAGATGTGCTGAGGCTGGGCTTGAACTGGTGACTTTCTGATCACAGGCACAGGTTTAACCCACTGAACCCCCTTGTAACATTGTCCACTTTCCTGTTCTGTGTTTGGCAATGTTGGGAAGCACAAATATCTCCCAAAATGGAATGTTAAAAAATTGTATAACTTCCTTTAAAGAACAAGTGTGAGAATGACAGACCCCCATCTATCCTTCCCCTGAATAGATATTGCTGTGCTTCTGTAGTCCTTGAACATATGTTGTCGATGGCTATGGATGATCGTGTAAGTAAAACTGCCTGTCCTGTTATCTACAATTTCAGCCAGACATCTGTACAGAGGTCAAAATGGAAGTTTTTTCATAAATAATTATATATTTTTTGGAAAACCCAAACACACCATGTGGTCATCTGTCTATCAAAACACAAAATAATATGGAGGCATAATTTAAGAAGTGGAACAAACACAAATGGGGGCAAAGCCAAATGAATTCCCAGAAATGATGGTGTTCCTAAGTATATTTAGTCATCATGATACAAACATCTATCATTCAGAAGGGAATTTGTTGATTGGTCTAATGCAAACCACCTTGTTCTAAATGTAAAAAAAACTGAGGAGATCATATTTGACCCTAAGGAAGTGGGCAATCGTAGTCCAGTAATGATACACAACCATCCATTCACGCAAGTTCAGTCCTAAAAGTATCTTGGTGTTCATATTGATAACACTTTGATCTGGAATGTTCATGTTGACTGGCTATGTTCTCATCTCCTTCAGGGAATGTATTTCTCATGAAGATTACAGTGTTTCCCCTAGGTTTACAGCTTTGGGAGGGCAGACGGACACCGACAGGATTCATGGTGTTCATGTGTTTCTTTTAATGACAGCAGTCAATATAACAACTGAACTAAACATCAGAACATTTCTTTTATTATATATAATATATATAATATATAATTATTCGCCATTTCGGGCATGTCAAACCAGATGGAGGTCCCGGGGCAATTATATATACAGTGGTACCTCAGAACTCGAATTTAATCCGTTCAGAACTCCGGATCAAATACTAAAAAGTTTGAGTTGTGATCGAATTTTCCCCATAAGAAATAATGGAAAACCAATTAATTGGTTCCCAGCCCCAAAAAATGACATCTAAATATGTTTTTTTTTAGCATTTAAACACAAAATGAACCGGATAAAACAAGAAGAGCATATATTGTACTAAACACATCTAAGCACATTTATCAAAACAGTAATTTGTAAAGTGAGAAAATAAATGTATCCAAACAATGTGTAAAGTAAAAAAAAAAAAAACAATGTGTCCTGCCTCGATGGTCCGCTCCTTCCATATGCCACGCCCCCTCGTTAACCCCGTGTGGAATCGCCGTGTGATCAGCTGTTTCTGGTTGTTGTCATTAGTCCTCTGTATTTCGTCCGCGTTTCAGTTTGTTTCCCCAGTCCGGTCATTGTATTGTCCGTCTGCGTTTTGACTACCTTACCTGTAATTAAACCCCGTATTCCCCTATACCCTGATGTCTGCGTCTTTGTCTCCGTTCTGTCCCAGCTCAGCAGGACAATATTATTATAAGTAAATGTATTAATGGTTTATTATTAATATTTAAATAATTAATAAGAAATCTTTATTTTAAAATGTATTTTATTATATAATAATAATTACTGTTACTGTCTATCATTGTCTAAATGTATTTTTACTGTCTAAATATATGTATTCAGCTAGTGTAAACATGCACGATGCTATCACAGCGAATACGAGGCTTAGACTGAAGCATTACCCTACAGTATGTTTCCGCTGAGAGCCGTGCTGGTGCTGCCTAACTAATTTCCCCGCGTGTACAAGTTATCTTAGATCGGCGTTCACGGTTTGACTTCTGAGATTCAGATCGAGTTCTAGGTATTTTTTTTTCGAACTGGTTGGTTCGACTTTTAAGAAATTCGAATTCTAATGAGTTCGACAACTCAGGTACCACTGTATACATATTTTTGTCTGCTTTTTAGGTGGTTTACACGACATATTTTCCGACGCGCACTCTCTGTCCGCTGGTGGGAGTGTGCGCGCACGTGTCTGTGCACGCGCATCGGGGCGGAACTCCGCCATGCGCGATACGGAGAGCGGAGGAAAATTGTAAACGTGCAACCGTGTAGAGAAAAAAATGACAAGCTGTTGCGTAAATAAGATAAATAACATAAGGCTATTTAGTTTGTTTAATAAAAGGACAATGTATAGACCTGTTCTATTGGAAAGGTGACCTTAAATGACTTCTGTTGTGATCTGGCGCTATATAGAAAATAAAATTAAACAAAATTAACTTGACCTTTCAGGGGGGGCAGGAGGTGCTGTTGGGGGGAGGGGGGGCTGATATAATGATAGGGGAAACACTGGATTATGTTTGTATGGCATATGTTGAACAAAAAAAATCATGTTTCTGTTTATTCTTGTAGAGTGTAATTTGGTACAGAATGACTGCATGGTTTGGGAATCTCCCTGCTACATAAAGATCTGAGTTAATGCATCTGGTACAGACTGCAATGAAGATCATTGCTCAGAAGGATCAATATAATCTTCAGGCTATTTTGAACAATGTATACTCAAACAGGCAGAGAGAATCCCCAGTGACCTATCCCATAGTCTGTACTTCCCATGTGAGTTACTACCATCAGTCAGAAGGTATAGAGTCCAACTTCTTCATTCCTTTATCTATCAGCTTTTGGAACAATAGTCTTAAATAACAAAAGAAACAATGGACATGTTTTTATTTGTTATTACTATTTTTAATTTACTCAATCATTCCTCTATTCATTTACTTACTTATTTGCTTATTTATGTATCTTTCTTTTGTTTGATGTCTTTCATATGAGGGAATAGGGTGTCTACTTGTACTTTGGTGGGTCCAGCTTTGTAGAGTCCAAGTCATATTTCCCTATGGGGACAATAAAGTATGTATGTATGTATGTATGTATGTATGTATGTATCTATACCTGAGCTGTCTTACCATATACCACTTTATTCATCTGCTTATTTTTTAAATATATGCACAGTTTGTTTCTGTTTTACTACCTCTGTTTTATTATCTTAATCTTTTTATTGTATTTGTTAATGTTTAAATTGTATGTTTAATTGGTTTGTCATGTTACTACCTACACCAAAGGAAATTCCTTTTAGGCCTGCTTTTTATAGGCTACTCTAAAGAATAACGATTTTGATTCTGTTCAGTTTGTGTAATGGGATTTATATTTCAAAACATGTACTAACCTTTACTGAATGCAAAGTGTGGTTAAACAGCTCTGGGTGATGTGGGCAAGAAAATGTATAATATTTTATATATTTTCCAGTAAATGGAACTTAATTTAATGTTAGTAATACATATGGCCCTTATGTAGGCCTAAATAAAACAGCAGAAACAGAAATCCATATTCGGCATACTTGCCTTTTTTACAAGTTAATTAAGCAAACAGTTATTATAATTGAATGTTTTATTCCAAATACTCACTGGCGCGGACACTTGGCTGTACTGCAGATGTATTTGGTAAACGTTTCCTAAAGTTAAATGGTGCAGCTGAGAGACGCCCCCTAGCTTTGCACGCCCGGTAGTTCATGGGATGGCGGAGGACCCAGAAGAGGAACTGCTACTTCATTAAGAGCATCGCTTCACGGGGAGTATACGCTACTTTCGAATTCAGCGGGGAAAAAAATCACTTTCGCTGCCTACCAACATCAGTAGCCGGATGAATCCTTGAAAACGGTGGCCGGCTGGAAGGGGCTTTGAATGGGAATGCCGATTTGCCTGGAAGGAGCGGCGATGCAGCAGCAGGACGAGACAGCGCTCCTTCGTGATAGTAGTTTTGGGCTTGATTTCGTGCCGTGCGTGTGATTGCGCACGAAACAAACTCTCCGTTATGAGAAATGATTTAACGCTAACTTGCTTATTTTCCGGTGTATCGCAACTGGCATTTAAGAAACCGCCATCATTATGTGATGAAGGCCTGAGGAAGAATAGCTATTTTCAATGGAGGCTCTATGGAAGGTAGAACCGATTCCGACATAATGTAGCCAAAACGGAATATTATCACAGATAATAAGATACATTTATACGAAAAAAAGTAATCGTATTACAATTACAACTCTCTGGATGTAAATATATCATGGATTTGCTGTTTTCCCCATAATTTCCCGTCCAGTTTCCAGGAGGTGAGATCTAGTTGATTCCGCGTTCTTTATATAATAACGAAATCGTTACAAATTCTCCTCTTCGGTGAACCTACTGGCTAGAAACTTTACTTGGGCATGGGTGAAGGAAGTCAAAACGATTTTCACGCTTCGTAACGAGATGGTAGGTCGCTGACTGTTACTGGACTGTATGTCTTCTGATGAGGCATTATTATTCATGTAAATCCGTGCATGCATAATTACCGCCCATGAATTACTGTGTTTAGTAGTCATATATGTCATGCTCGTGCTTTGTTTTTTAGTGTATGCTATTGAATATACCGTTAAATCAGGGAAGTACCTAGTTTAGGCAGCATTTCACTGGGGTTTTTTGGGAAATGCCAAGCCGGCAGCTGGCATACCGGAGACGCAGGTGTACAACTGGCGCAGCGCAATTCAGGGGCAAAATGGTTAACAGAGACCGTGCCTCCCTTTCACAGGCGGCTCATATGCTGTCAAGTTAGGCCTTTCTCTGTTTCTACATACGCATTTTGGGAACTTACAATTTGATATGTGCGTTTGTTTTCTTTGAAAGAAGAATAGAAAAAAAAATCGTTAACATATTTATGTGCGTATGTTTGATTACTTGGGTGTATGTAATGGGGGGGGGGGCAATTGGACCTAGTATTCCATAAAAGTTTTAGCAGTACATCTCACATGTGTGATTTGTTTACTTTCTTTATTTTCAGAACTTAAGGATGACATTTTACACCTACAATATGGATTAATGTCTGGATAGATGCTGGTCAACATGAGATGATAATACGACGCATGAGATCCCCTTATCAATCGAGCTCACATAGCAAACCATGACTGCTCCGGCGCTGCTGCCACTGTCGGGCCGGCGGATACCGTCTGTCGTATCTGGAGCCTCCTCGCTGGCCCACCACAGGGCCACGCTGCGGCTCTCAGAGAAATTCATCCTCCTCCTCATCCTCAGTGCCTTCATCACCCTCTGCTTTGGGGCATTCTTCTTTCTTCCGGACAGCTCCAAACACAAGCGCTTCGACCTGGGCCTGGAGGATGTGCTTATACCCCACATCGACCCTAACATACAGGGCAGGCACCCTGGTCTGGCAGTGATCCACGGGCAAGGAGACCATGACGAACACCGGCACAGGTAAAGATGGCATGGACCTGATATTCCCTACCCCATCCCCTTGCTTCTTTGTTTTTAGTTCTACTTTCCTCATTTCACTGGTGTTTGCAAGGTTCCTGACGGCTGCACCGCCTTTTATCATATATGTAAACCTAACTACAGTGAAAACAATGTGATTGATGAAAAAAACTACAATTTGCTGACAACAGTGAGCCGTCAAAAAAGTTAGGGTGTCCTTAAATTTGACAACCTTTGAGTTTTGCATTTTGTACCTATGAGATAGGAACATGGACTGAATTACGTACGTGAACCATAAAATTTATGGGAATCATTGTACAATTTTTATTCTTATGTGTATGTATAGTTGTCTAACATACAAAAAACTAAGTACACTAATTTAAAAAAGAAATTTAGATTTAACTCAATATTTTGTTGAACACATGTTCCTTGCCAAAATAATTGAACACAAATACATGACATGAAGCATAAGGCTTGATGATGAAAGTGAGAATCTGCTCAAAATCATAAATCCAAAATCAGAATCCATACCCTTGGAGTCGGTGTCCACTTTGTCTGAGGTGTTGGGTGGGTTAAGGTTAGTCTTAGAGCCTCAGGTTTGCCTGAATTGTCACCAATTTCTCTACTTGTACATGTATGGGCCTGTTGTGGACTTTGGTGTGCATTTTTTACAAAAGCGAGACCAATTGCGCTAAGAGGAAGCTGATGTTGAGAGGATTAGTAAGATTATTGCAAAAACCGTTAATAGTGCCCCAGATGAGCAAATACCCAAACATCAGGTTGATGCTGAGTTACATCATCGCATAATACACTTTATTAAAACAATTGTGATATCAATGTTGGCAAGATTAAAAATTATTTTAGCTCATCCATTAACCTGTTTGATGGATTACTTGAGGGGAAATTGATATGTTTCTGAATATAATAAATCCACTTTACAGATTAATTTCCTATTTAAAGCATTAACAAAAATATGAACTTACCACAGCTTGGCTTTTCACTTCTGGTCTAGACTCAAACATTGTGATTTTATCATAACTGTTTACAGTTTTATCCACAATTCACATTTCAGATGTAAGAATCGCAATACAGCAAGACATTAACATTTACTTTGCATGCGTGCAGCATCCTCAGCCACAGCATCTTCCACACACAAGTAACCAAACAGAAGTAAACACGTCTTACTGACAAAAAAAATAAAATCTTTTAATTTATTTGATCTATTATTTGTTTGTAAATGTTGTAAACCGAGTGCAGAATTATTGACCCAAGTGATAAATGTTCATTTGTACACAAAACTTTCAACACCTTAATGTTTTTAAAAAATTAAAAAGCACTTTTGGTATAATGAGTCAATTTAGTTTACATGTACAATATTTTACATAGCTTAATAATTAAGTTTATTATTATAATGCTGCAAGCAATGCTTCTTGTCAGTTAAGTGGTTAAACAGTTAATTAACATTACTAAATATATTCCAAAAAAAATCATCATGATCTGTATCGTTGATCAAGATCATAACCAATATGACATTTTGACCATATTGCCCACCCCTACTGCAACATGTGCACATGTAAACAGTAGGGATGCTCATTTCGATTAATTTTCCCAACCGACAACCGCCGTTCGTTAACCGAACATTAACCGTTAACTGATTAGATTAGAATATTAAATTCCTCTGGATATTAAATTCCCATTTTGACATTCCCATGGAAATTTATTGGAAATTTTCCACCCCTTTGCAATCCTAGATTTGCCATCTATGATTTATAGTGTCTATCTTGTTTCTGGGGCGGCATGGTGGTGCAGTGGTTAGCACTGTTGCCTCACACCTCTGGGACCTGGGTTCAAGTCTTTGCCTGGGTCACATGTGTGTGGAGTTTGCATGTTCTCCCTGTGTTGTCATGGGGTTTCCTCCAGGTACTCTGGTTTCCCCCCACAGTCCAAAGACATGCTGAGGCTAATTGGCATTGCTAAATTGCCCTTAGGTGTGAATGGTGTGCAAGTGTGCCCTGCGATGGGCTGGCCCCCCATCCAGGGTTGTTCCCTGCCTCATGCCCATTGCTTCCAGGATAGGCTCCTGACCCCCCGCGACCCAGTAGGATAAGCGGGTTGGACGATGGATGGATGGATCTTGTTTCTCTTTTTGTGATCTGTTTGTGTGGCCAGTCTTAAGACTGAGGAAGGCTGACTGCATGCCAATGGAAAGTCTCTTCTGGCCACTGGTTCATTTAGCCAGTAGCCAGTAGCATCAAGAATTTCTATGCTATGTTGCCAGATATAGCTGATTACTGGGTGTATAGTAGGCTAATGGGGAGTCTAGGTCTTCTTAAGTGCTCATGATGTGTATAACTCAGTGACGTGGGCATGGGTGGGGGCATCCTGGCCCTGCCTAGCCTAGGTGTCCTTTGACTGCCTTAGCTTCGGTGAAGAGTGAAATTTGGTAAAATAGATAAATATGGACTTTAGGTCGGAAAAAAATCCTTTAATTTCACAGACTGATATATCGCTGTACAGTATAACATAACAACTCGTATATAGTAGAAATAGGTGAACATTTTCAGTATAGGTGTTGTTTGTGTGTGTGTTTGTGTGTGTGTGTGGTGTGTCTCTGTGACCATCAATATATTTAGTTGTCAAATATGTGTATGTGTGTGTAATGTTCCTTGCATATGAACCCATTTCTTCTAAATTTGGCAAACAGGTAGAACACAGTAGAAAAGTTTCTGACAATATTGTTTTTACCGTTGCTATTAATAGTAATAGTCTCTGTGGCCTAGATTCGATTAAAAAACAATCTGTCAAACTAACTGCTGACAGAGAGTAATTTATTAGCCAATGTGATACTGCAGCCTCTAAGCCAAGGTGCAGTCAGTAAAGTTTGGGATCCCAGACCCCATTTCGGGATCCCAGACCTTGGTGAGGAATCTCAGATCCTGCTTATGGATTTCAGACCCTGTGTAGAGATCTCAGACCCTGATTATGCATCCTAGACCCCATTTAGGGATCTCAGACCCCATATATGGATCCCAGATCTTGGTGAGGAATCTCAGATCTTATGGATTTCAGACCCCGATGAGGGATCCCAGACTCCGGCAAGCATCCTAGACCCTGCTCAGAGATCCCAGACCTCGCTTAGGGATCCCAGACCCTGCTTAGGGATGCTAGACAACATAAATAGCACCAGAAGAGCTCCATCATCTGCACCTCCCATATTCAGTATCAAAACAAACTGTTTTTCTCCATCTTAATACCCTCAATATGACTGAATAGGGGGGGCTGGGGCAGTGTTTATACCCATAGGGTATAGCAATACAGAGGGGAGCTTATGTGGTCAGGCTGAAAGCAGGTTTGGGCTGAAATTGCTCACGCTGTGCTCCCATATCTTTCCTCAGAGTCTAGAGGTGAAAATACGAAAATGTTCTGGGTTTGATTTTGTGGAAAAAGACTTCTTTAAATGGGTGTTAGATGTGGATGGCAGCAGGGATGTTTCTCATTTCTCCTGTTTTTGCTCAATGGTGTCAACCCAAGTTGTTCCTGGTTTATCCTTAACAATTTTTCGTGAACTATAAGTAGATATATAAAATGAGATGTTTACATAAGACACTGATGACGTGCCACACACACAGACACAGAGCTGGAGTAATGCACCCATGGACATCATCACTAGATGGTTTTGGATGTATTGTCCCAGGTACTGATGAGCATCGGTTAAGGACAAGGATGCAACTTTTATGCTCTGGGTTCCAAGATCTACATGGTACCATTGAGCAATGTACAGAGGCAGACTGGCAACAGAAATCAGCCCAGCAATTTGGGATCCCCTTTGTAAGAACTGGGGGGGGGGTTCCTTTGCACTATGTTCCTGGTATATTTTGGTGATCGAGATCAATCAGTTGGGTACCAATGAAATAAATCATTATCCATTATTCATCTTCTGTGATTGACCTGGAAACACACCGAGACTGATGGACGGGTCGGGCACCCCTGGTATATAGACTATACCCGAAAATACCCAAACCTTCCCAATGGCCAGCCTGTGCCTGGCAATGTAATTAACCTGAACACCAGTAAAATATCCTACTGAAGTCCTTTTAGTGCTGTCCTCAGTTCCAAAAATAAGCCCTCTCTCTGTACTTTGTGGACAAACCTTGATTTACATAAGGCATGGTTTATATTCCAGTCTGATTTTTCAGTTTGAACTCTCTGTAGGCTGTCTGTGAAGCATGGAACTCTGTGTGGCACTGCACTCATTGTGGCTGATCTGAAATGCTGCTGTTGGGGCTGCAGGATCTGCCTTGCTGTCTGTGTCTGACTCTCCCTGCTCTGCCAGCAGCTGCTTCACCTGCTGCATTATGGGCTCTTTCACTTTCACAGGTTTGTCGGTCATAAGCTCACCGCCTGGAGTCATTACACCTGGTTCCTCAGTGTATCCCTGTAATTCAGCCCTGAGACTCATTGTTCAGGATGTCTCTGAATTGTGCCTTTGCATGTTGATGGTAGTTTAGCTGCTCTCTGAAGGCCCTGCTGCTGTTCTTCCTTTGATAAACAGAGTATCAAAGCGTAAAGCCTTTTGGATAAAAAGCCCTTTCCGAACAGCAAAATATATACACGTCTACTACACAAATTATCTGAACAATGAACATTCAGAGGAGCAGACTTGCTGTTGTGATAAAGGTAGTACTAGGTACCCCCAATCAGTTTACTTCCCATTAAGTGCAATAAATGGATAAAACGACATGGAATTTGCTTGGTATAAAAGAGTTTGTCAAAGGCATGAGGGGCGATTCAGCGAATGTAAAATGGAAGAGGCATCGTGGAGGGCGATGATGTGCAGGAGGTACAGGCTGATGAGAGTCCTCCGTGAGTAGCAGCCACATTGTTAGGGGGATTTAATCTGTCCCCTCACATATACACACATTACTCTCACTTGGCACATAAGAGGCTGCAGTTCTGCAGCCATGATGGAGAAGAAGGAGAGGATTTATCACAAAGCTCGAGAA